ACATGATGTATAAAAGAAAAAAATTGATAAATGAGATTCCATCAAAATTTAGAACTTTAAATGACATAGTTAAGAAAATGAAAAGTAGTCCTTAAACAGACAATATTTATAATGCATATAACCTATGACTAGAATATGTAAAGAACTCTTACAGGTCATTAATAGACAACTCAATTAAAAAGTAGACACAAGAAGTTGATAAATAACCAGTACAGCACCAGGAAAGGTGTGCAACACTAGAATCAGAAAAATACAAATCAGTACAATAACAAGACTGAATTATACACTCATTAGGGAGATGAAGTTAAAAGTTCTAAAAGAACAAATGTCAGCTTAGATATGAACCAGTTAGAACTTTCTAATACTGCTAATGTGAATGTAAAATGATAAAACCATTTTGGAAAACAATATAGAAATTTCTTGTATTACTGTTAAGAACCAATAGTCCTGTTCTTTTTTTTTTGTATTTGTAAACATTCATTCTCTTGAACTGAAAAAGGCTTGCATCAGTACACATTGTACAGCCTTGCAAATTGCACAGAAATTGAAAAGAAGGTTCCTTGTTCTTAAGTGCAATGAATCTCTGATGTCCAGTAATTTGCAAACAATGGAAACAAATTTTAAACCACTTAAGAAGTCTCCAGCACTCATTAAATATATTTCTGTAGGTGACAAGAAATCCACAAGGAGGGGAATTCAAATAAGTGGCAATTAGTTGTTGGAGGGACACTTAAAAAAAAAAGTGAGAGTATTTTCCTGGCTTGGATGATTTCCATTCCCCTTTGAATTTAAGTGGTTTGATTAAGAGCATTAAGAATATAATTTACTTTACACTTAACATCCATACTACTTAATGAATAAGGGAAGGACCCTATGGGGGAGTTCTGTATTTTCTGGAAAATGTTTCTATGTTTAGAGATTCATGGGAAGAGTCATCTTTTATTTGTGGAAGCTGAGAAACAGTCCTGTTCTTAAGTTTTTACTTGAGAGGAATGAAAACACATGTTCACAATAGATTTGTACATACAAGTTGAGTATCCCTTTTTTGAAATTCTTGGGACCAGAGTGTTTCAGATTTTCTTTTGAAATCCACTTGATCTGCAAAGAGGATAGCTACTCCTCCTTTTTTGGGGGTGGGGGTTCCTGTCACATGGAGTATTGTTTTCCCCCTTCAACTTTCAGTCTATGAGTTTCTTTTTGAATTGTGTTTCTTGTATGCAGC